TCTGTCTGTCTGTCTGTCTGTCTGTCTGTCTGTCTGTCTGTCTGTCTGTCTGTCTGTCTGTCTGTCTGTCCGTCCATCCGTCCAACCATCCATCCACCCAATCAAGCAACCAGCTATCCATCCAGCCAATCAAGCATCCAGCCATCCATCCATCCATCTATCCATCCATCCAACCACCCAACCAACCAAACAACCAAACAACCAACCAGCCATCCATCCAACCAATGAACCAACCAACCAACCATTCCTTCTGACCAATCAAGCAGCCATCCATCCATCCATCCATCCATCCATCCCTCTGTATGACATCCATCCATCCATCCAACCAACCAACCAACAACGTATCAACTATCCATCCAAGTTTTTACCAGGGGTTCCTGGAGCTCCGTGCTCTCCTGCAGCACCTATTTCAAAYAAGCAAACATGAAGTGATTTTTTTGTGCCATTCAAATCAACAAACCACATCTAYGACCCTTATTTATAATTTAATCAGGTCATCGTTGAGACCCTGTACCTCACCTTTTGGACCTATTGGTCCAGGAGAACCAACAGGACCAGGACGTCCTGTCTCACCTTGAGATCCTGTCAAAATGAAAAAAAAAAAAATCAATACATTTTTCTACCTTTTAAAACAACTCAGCCCCAAATATGTAATTATATTCAACCTTTATCTCCCTTCTCTCCTAAACCAGGAAGTCCAGTTTCTCCTCGAGGACCCATTGGTCCCTCCCGGCCCCTCTGACCTGGCAGACCCTCTGGACCTGGTTCACCTGAGCAGGAGAAAGGTGATTTTTTTAATCTCTTAACGGTTTCTTAGCAGATAAAATATTTTAATTTCTTATTACCTGGATTTCCCTTCGGTCCCCTCAACCCATCTGGTCCAGGGTGTCCAATCTGCCCAGGAGGACCTTCAGAGAAAAGACATTTAGGACGGGTCACCGCCATAAAAATATATCATGAATTCTTTGCTCTGAATCTTACCTGGCAGCCCGGGGAATCCACTCTCACCTGAAAAAGATTTGATTTTTAGCAGCTGGTTTAAAATTTTCAATGAAATTCTAAAATTCTGGACGTTTCCTGACCTTTTGGTCCAAGTGATCCAGAATCACCTTCATAAAGACAGGATGGATTGAGATTATGGGATTGGGATGTCAAGAGTAAAACATGTTATTTTCTAATTGTGAACTGGTACCTTTTGGACCCGGTGGTCCCCTCTCGCCTTTCAGAGAATAAACCAGTGTATCTGTAAAACAGAACTCTCCTTAGTCCTCAGAAACCTTCGGTTCTGGATGAAATCATCTGATCTGTGGGTCGCGCACCTCGAACAGAACCGGACTGGAGTTCAGYCCTGACCAGTTGCTGGACAGTTCTCTGCAGGGTGGTGCTGTCCTGACCCGGCCCAGTCCCTGCACCTCCTCCTGGACCARCAGCTCCTAGGTTGATGGAATTATCTGAGCGAGTGATGGTGGCGCTCCRGTCGCTGAACTCCGAGTCCAACGGGTCGATAATGTTGACGCCGGAGGAGGCCGACAGACGGCTGGTCCTTGCGGATGTGGTCCCAGTGATGGCCTCCAGGGCCTCAACGCGGTCCTTCAGGCGTCTCACCTCCTCACCTGCAGAACAAAATACCAACCCTCAGCTTGCTGAAGATGATGTGCGTGGTTCTGAAACAAAACGCTGCTGACCCAAAGCGATGAGTCCGAAGAGGACACCGAAGAGGAGCAGCAGGCTGAGCAGGAGGGCCAGGAGCCACTTCCACCAGGTGCAGCAGGAGCAGAACCCAAAACCAGACTCGTCTTTACGGATCTCTGAGAAACATTCAGGAGTGTCTTTAAAATTTAATCCACTYAGTAAACTGACAGGGTTAATCTGCATAATCTGTCTAAGATTAAACTGAACAACGGGACCGTCTCACCTGCGTACGTCGCTTTGTCTTTAGTCCCAGCTTTCAGGCTCGAAGCTAAAAAACAAATTTAAAAAATCAGATTCTGACAACAGATTCATAAAATCAAAGAGTTGTTTGTAAAAAAACATTTACATTTTACATCAGTTCCTTCCTCAGACGATGAAAGTTTCTGTTTTTCCCTCTTCAGTGAGTCCTCTGAGTAAGTTCCTGAAAAACACAAACTTGAATTATTTTAATCTTAAAACAGGACATGAACCCATCAGCGTGAGTTCTTCTTAAAACTTTTCTACCAAATTATTAAAAAAATATATAAAACGTAGGAATTTATTGTAGTTGATTAGGTGTTTACTTCATTTTTGTTCTATTTAAATTCATTATTTTTCAAATATGTTCAATTTTAGTTTGTTATGGAGGCTTAAAGTACCTGTGACATGAATTTTTTGTAATAACCATGAATGCATTTTTGGAACGATAAYGATAAAACACTGCAAAATAAATTTCATGTCACTGAGATGAAAAATTGTTGAGATATTTGCATGTGATGAAACAGGAAGTGATGTCAAAGGGGAATGATTGCATGTAAACAGAGCGTTGCTACAAAAGCTAACAACACAGACTGTAGAGAAGAATCTGATGTTYCTTTACATTATTTTGAGTCTCTATCAGGGATGAAGAAGCGTTAAAGCTTAAATAATATTGTTTTAATAAACAAAGACCAGACAGTTTATTTTATTAAAGATTTCCTCTTTGATGTCACTTCCTGTTTCACTTTGACMGAGCCAAGTTTAATATAAAATAGGCCAGTTATGTGACAAAATGGGTAAAATCATGTGTACAATGCCAATTCCCTTAAGTATAAAGATGTTTTCTTTTACTTTTTGTATTTGAAGGATGGCATGTCACAGGCTCTTGAAAGACTGTGATTGACAGTCCTGTTAGCGAGTTAGGAGGCTGTGTGGGCAGGACTATGGAGGTGCCGCCCCATGCCACGAGTGCACAGACTCTGGTTCCAAAAATACAACATGGCTGTTCCAATGAAAAGGGACATTTTGATATTAATTTTGAGTAGCAGGAGGCAGCAGAGATGCTTTGTTCATCTTTATWAACATCTTTATTAAAGTCGTTATTAATGTTGATAATAAAACTGTTCAGAAATATCTCCCTAACCAGAGAAGCCTGTGGAAAAAAAAAACATCAATACAAGAGAAAAGTCTCCTGGATCTCTTCCTCTTCGGCGTTTGGACCGGTCCCTGATGAACAGAACTCACCTGTGAAAGGTGCGGCGGACACAAACTGTTTCCCAGAGTCTTTGGCCATGACGAGCCGCTCCGTTTCCTTCTTGATGGGAGCGTTTTCCTTCTCTATCAGCACAAAGTTAAAGTCTTTTCCCGAGGCCTCGTAGTTGGTGGGACTGCTGGGTCTCACTGAGATAAACCAGACAGAGTTTTAACTTTCTAAAGGAGCTTCAGAAAGTCTGGGTCATTTAGACTTCAGCTCACCTGTGGTCGGGCTCAGTCCAGAGACGTTCTTCTGAACTCCATAAACTGCAAACAAAAACAGACCACACCTTAGAAAAATTCGTTTAGATTTATCCTGCAAATTTTTTGTAGAGAAAACAGCTGAAAAACCCTCAGGTAGGTCAGATAGATTTGTTCACCTATCTGGGCACTGGGTCCAGTCGGGGCAAGGACCGTTGGACCGGTCAGGTTATTCTGCACGCCGTACACCGGAGCTGCAGAGGAGAGAACAGAGTCAGGATGAGGAGGATGGTGTGAGATCCCTGAAGGCTTTGATCCTCACCGGAGCCGCTGGCAGAAAGTCCAGAGTTCATAGCAGGAGAACCAAGAGTCCGGTTGTTCTGAACTCCTGTAGTGAGAAAACAACACAAACATTTACAGATGTGCATCTGTTCWGCTAATGCTACTAAAGTTTATGCTACATCTGCTAATGCTAATGCTACTAATGTTTATGTTGCAACCACTAATGCTAATGCTGCTAAAGCCATTACCATTTATGCAATGTCATAAATTTACTGGTAATGCCACTAATGTTATTAACGGTAATGCTACTAATGCTAATACTGCTAAAGCCATTACTGTTATGCTACTAATGCCATAGTCTCACTCAGGTCGCATGCACTGGTGTGTCAGAAGATGAGTTTTGTACGGGATTCTGGCAGGGACATGAAGCCATCAAAGAAAACTGGGTGGCGCTATTTGAGATGCCAGGAAGAATGGAACCACAATAGTCCAGTCTTGAAGATACAAATGCATGGACAAGTTTTTCAGTGTCCAGTTGAGAAAGTGATGGAATGATACTAGCAATGTTTTTAGATGATAAAAGGATGTTTTGCACAGGTGTTTTACATTGGTATCTAAAGAAAAATGAACCTGATGAGGAGTGCCAATCATGGCCTCAGTTTTGAAGATGTTCAGTCAGAGATGTTACCGTTCATGCATGACTTGATGTCCTCCAGACAGGCTATGAATGTGGAGGGTGAGGATGAGGGGGGATGTGGAGGAAGAGGCAGAAGAATGATGGTGTGTTTTTATGTAAAGCCAAGTGTCATCAGCATAGCAGTGGAAGGATTTTTCATGGTGTCTGATGACTTGTCTAAGAGGTTGGATGTACAATGTGAAGAGAGTAGGGCAAAAAATTGACCCCTGAGGAACGCCACAGGTATGAGTCTTTGACTTGGACATGTTCCGTCCTGTTTGAAAGGTAGGACCAGAACCAGTGAAGAACAGTATCATGAAGCCCAATAGTGTGAGAGAGAAGGCTTAGGAAGATACTGTGATCAGTGGTAAGACAAGTGGATTAATGAACCAGAGGTTGAAATTTTTATCTATATCAGAGTGGAAGGAAGGGGTCGAAGGAAGGTAGTGGTCTTCCTCTTCCTGACATGTTCTGTAGAATCGAAACTTAGTTGCTTCTTTGTATTTTAAGGGATTATTGTATCCTAGATGAAAATCTGTTGCTGATGCTAATTTAGCTACTTAGTTAGCATTTCACAACATTTAGCTTTCAGCTCACATTCTGCTTCAACAAATTGTAGCAAAGTCCTTCTGAAGCCTGCGCTCACTCTGTATTTGGATAAAAAAAATAAATGTTTGTGTATTTGCAGTGTCCTGAAAGCAGTCAGGGGTTCTGGTTCCTGGCTGGTTCTGACCTGGCTGGTAAAGSGTGGAGGTTGTGGAGTAGTTGTTGGGGTTGGTGTTGTACCCATATCCACTGCCCACATCTCCGTGCCAAACGCTGCCGTAYGGCTCTGAAACAGAAAGCGAGACATTTGAACCGTGAAGTGAAGAAGGGTCTTCTGATGGTTCAGAACAGCGGACTGGTTGGACCTGCGGGGGCCTCKGGTGCGGCCCTGGTTTCCACGCTGGCCTTCCTGGGGATGGGCAGGGTGTTGTTGGGGGACTGGGTCGGGCTGACGCTGGTGCTGGTGGAGCGGTTCCCCCTCAGCAGGCGCTTCACGTCATCCAACTCTGTCCCTGAAAAGAAACCAGAACTGTAAAGAAGCGAGACTCGGATGATTTGTTTGAACGTTYCTGCTCGATGAAGTTCTCACATCTGGCAGGAGGTGAAGCACTCTGAAGCCTGGCTCTGATCTCACTCTCTGGAGTCAAACAGAAATGATTCAGGCTCTTAGTTCAGTTCATTTAATCTAAAACTTTTAACAAAAAATCTTATGATGTCTAAATTATAATCTGTTAACTGAAACTTTTAGTCTGTGTACCTCTGCTGTGAGTTCTCCCTCTAGTGACAGAACTTGAGATTACACTTGATCCACCTGCAGAAATAAATAAAARTAAACACTAATAATTAAAATACCCTTGAGTCGGCGTGATTTTTGATGTTTACTCAGAAATCCAGGTTCAACTGACCATATTCTTTCCTGTTGTACTCTGGAGAGGAGTTTGTGCTCGAACTTTCTGAAACGTGGAAATATAAACTCACATGAAGACCTCTGCTTGTCTCAAACTGTTACCAGCATGACCTTTGACATGTGACTGACCATCAAAGACCTCCGACAGAGCTGCTGCCATGGTGGTCAGACTTTTCCTCTCCTTGGAAGGAGGCGAATAAGGAGACGACAACGACGAACCTCTCTTCGTCTCAGACCCTCCTGACGTTGAGCTGGTCTTGGTCACTCTGGAGACGGTCACGGCACCGAGACCCCCGTCTCTTTTTCCTTCTTTACCGCTGCTTCCAAAACTGTAGGACATACCTGAGGGTCCCCTGCCAGACTCTGTGGACCCCCCTGCTGCACCTGAGGCCCCCGATGAGACAAAGACCCCACCTGAGGAGGACCCTGAGGTGATGCTGACGCTCCCAGAGGTCTTAGATCCAGATCCACTCTGAAGGGACCTGCTAGATGTGATCAGGACTGAACTGCTCGAGACCCCCGAGCCCCCTCCTGTAGCTTCTGATCCACCTGGTCCAGCTGAACCGCCTGATCCACCTGTACTCAGAGAAGAATCACATGACCGTTACAAAAATCCRTCCCCTTCCTGAAATGTTTAATTTTATCTAAAACTCAATCTGAGGGGGGAAAAGATCAAATCCTCTAAACCAGGGGTTCTCAAGCTATTTGAGTCTGGGACCCACTTATAAGGTTATAACAGTTGTGGAATTTTCATTTTAGTTTAAGTTCAAGCAAAATTCAAGTTTTGCTTGAATTTAGCCTGAAACTCTCAGACTGAAGAAGTCTCTTGGAGGAGAGACGAAACGTTTCATTAAAGAAGAACCCGTCCAGAAGACTTATACAATTTTTTTCCTTTTCATTTTAGTTTAGTTTTATTTCATTGCAACTTTTTTCTTTTAATTCAGTTTCAGTGAGTTTTTGCAGTGGATTTGCTAGTTTTTATTAGTTATCATTGCATTTTAACGCTTAGTGTTAGTTTAGTTTAGTTTATATTAGTTCTAGTATTAGTTTTTTATAGTTTATTTGCCAATGCATCCTCCAGCTTGTGATGTTCCTGTGAGTTAACTAACCAACACCTATTTGGTCACAAGTTAAATCAGTTCATTATAGAGACACCTTCCTAAAATAATTGTGTAACTCAATATTATAAACTAAAAACTTGGGTGATTATTTTAGGACGATGACAATAGTTTCCAACCTGTTGTTTTTTTTTCATGGAGCTGCTGAGAGAAGCTAGCGTGTCAAGAGTCACAGTTAGCGTCTTGTGTGAGTTTTATTCATGCAGTTTTTCCCTTGAGAAGTTTTCCACCTGTTTTATCACCTGTTTCCACTACAAGACTCTTGTTTTATTTTTCTCACAGTCACATTCAAAGAAATCCCAAAGTTGACATTGTTGATTTCTCCAACTTTTGTTGTCATGTGTCAGGTGATGCTGAGCAGCAGACTGTAAACAAGTATTGTTACAGCTAACGTGAAACAACTCGATTAAAAATAAAAGGATCCACACTGCTCAAAATAAATTGACAAACACTAATTAGTTTTGTAAAAAGATTATACAGTTT